GCAGACATCCCCTGCTTAGCATTACTAGATGTTATACTCTAACTTTACTTTCTGATTTTCTCAGAGAATTCTGGGTATGGCTGCCGGACTTGTCATCACATTGTCATCGTGTCCTGGTGTGCAGGCTACTGTGGGCTGCTGTCTGTGCATGGCTTTTCTCCTTTTTTTCTTCTCTCTTTTTTTTTTTTTGGCTTTAATAGGTGGAAATAAGTCTATTTAGTTGTATATAGAATGTACCTGCCACATGTTGTGAGGTTTGAGGGGGGAGTGTTCCTCCCCACTTTTGTCAGGTTGGATGCTTTTCTCTGCTCATAGACCTTTGAACATGGGATTATTTTTAAAAAAAGGCTAAAGCATGAATGCCTATGACTTTTGTTAGGTAATAAACTAATATTAGGGGGTTCATCTTAGAGAAATAGTTCTACTCTTGATAGCAGCATGTTTCCAGTGAAATCGGTGCAATTAATAGCAAGAATGAAGAATTTGGGCAGGGGGTGGAAAGCAAAGAAAAAAGAAAGAAAATCATCCTTCTCTCTCTGAAAGGGCAGAAAGCCTGGATAGCATCTGAAAACATCTTGCCGTGCTGTGTACAGTATGGGGAGAAATGGAGCAAAATAAACAGAGTTTCTTGGATTTAAAAGGTGGATCAAAAGGAATCAGCTCCTGCCCGGACAAGGCAGCCAGATAGGGCACAGTAACAGATCCACGTGATAAACCAAGAGGCAACTGCAGAGCTCCCCAGACAACTTGCCTGAAGTGCCTGCCAAGGAGGCAGATGCTGCTGCTGGAAGAATATCTTCCACAGTTGGGCATCTGGGTTCAGTGTTTTCCACGTAAGGGAGAGGGCTGGGAGCATCAGGCTGGCCCCTGTCTTCCCATTTAATTATTTCAACATCCATTTTGTAGTTTTGTAAATAACACGTATTATCCTGCCTTTGTGTGGGGAAAGCAGAAGCAAGGAGAGGGGGTTTTGTCTGTAATATATGCCTTCACAGGGGTGTCTACATGGATGGGAACAGCCAGACTGGAGCTTGGCTGCCCTGCACTCCAGTCTGGTCAGATGTGACACAGCTCGGGTCTGGGAGTCGCAGAGCTGCCTTGCGGTGGCACGGAGCTCAACCTAATAAGCAGAGCAGGCTGAGATTCATTAATTTAACATTAATAAGCACAGCTTATTAGCTCAGGCACAGTGCTGTCTAACGCAGGCACACAGCTTCTGGAGCAGAGCTGCGTCCGCCCTCGCCAGCTCAGAGCATGGTGCAGAGGACCCAGCCAGGGTGTTCCTCTCCCCTGCTGTGTTTTGCATAAGGGAGAAAAGAGAATTTTGTGGTCACTGGAGAAGCTTCTGTGCAAGTGAAAAACCCTCCAGGTTTTTAGATTGTTTTGCTGGCTTATGCTGAGTCTTTAAGTCATTTAAACTTTTCCTGCCTCGGTTTCCCAATGGGCATGAAAGCAGGTCAGGTACTGATCATAAAATACTATAAAGAGCAAAATGCTCCTTCTTTTCACTTGAATTCTAGTTCTGTGCAGAAATTTATGGTATAAATAATGATTTTTCAGGGATTGGTTGTGCTCAGTTCACATTTATGCAGAGAGCCAAGAGAAGGTTTGTGTACAATTTAATGTCCAGTTTATACCTGAAAAATGGGACCAGAAAGGTGCATCAGTTTTATCTTATACCTGCAATTAGCTCACTTTGTTTGAGAGTAAAATTCATATTTAGGTAAGCAACAGGAAAAAGTGGAGACCTGTGGGACTGGGACACTGTTTTCACAGAAGTGTGGAACAGCAATGTATGGGCTATATAGCTGGTAAGCAAATATTATCTAAATACATTCAAGTAGAACAGGTTGTTTTCTGTGGCCCTTTATTTGTGAAAATCCCTACTTAGGTTGGGTTTTGTTGTTTCTTTCCTGTGTAAAGTCTATTTATTTGATTTGCTCATCTTGAGGTAGAAGCATGGATTACCTAACAGCAGTTGTGCTCAATGATTTTCAGGATGAGTCCAAATAAAACAATTCTTTATGGTATTAGACTGAAAAGAGCTATGTGATATGTCTGTTCAGCCTCGTATTTTGCCTACTCTGCTTTTAAGTAGAATAGATTTCTTGCAAAGATGAATGGGGACATTGGTGGGTTGTGGGTTTTTTTCCCCATCAAATGCAAAAAAACTTGAAAGAACAGGTACTTCAGCCTCAAGCTTTGCTTTTAATCCACCTCCTGTGGGTTTCATGCACTGCACTGTGACTTCTTGCAGCTTCAGAGGGCTTGGTTTAAGAGAGAGATATGGCACCAGTGTTAATCCCTGCTGCCAGGCCTTTCTCATAGACTTTCTCATCAGCTGCTTTGTTGGATTTCTAAAGGAGGACCTTTCTGAAGTGCAGTTCACATTGTTATTTCTACTTGATCTGGACCTGTTCCTGCAGACTGGATTGGTACAGGATGGTTTAGATGAGTGTAGCCTTCTGGGTGAAGGTTGGATTCTCGTGCTTAGTTCCTGTGTGTAAGTTACACCTACACTTTCACGTGCTGCACAGAAGTCATAGTTTTAATCCCATGGCTCAGTTCTGCATAGCCCTGTTGTGTTTGTCTGAGAGGAAAGAAAGAAGAGGCGAAAGAGGGGAATGCCACGGGAACAGCAGAGCTATGGTCCTTCAGCTTCTTTCCCATCAGAAATCCCTTGAAGCTCAGTTTAATATTGGGCAAGAACAAGCATCTCTACCAGAAAATACAGAAATTGCACTAATATGCTTCAAATCAAGCCAGTTTAGCCATTATTTTCCAAGTAATTATGTCTTTTGCATCAACATATCATTTTTATCTGTTTGGGGTTTTCTTGGTCTGTGTTTTCAGTATCTATTCTACTGTTGCTTCCATATCAATGGAGCAGAGCTTATGAAATAACTCTGTCTTTTCCTGAGGATGTGTTTGAGGCAGCAAGGAGGAAGAGAAGACAACTGAGTTCCTTCAGAGAGACTCAGACAATTGCTTTCCTAATGCTTAAACCTCCAAAAGGATCCAATATCACATCTTCCTGCCTTCCATCACTCTGTGCCACTATGTCGTTTTGGTATACCTCTACATTATGAAGTATTGGGTTTTATTGCCTGTATTTTAGTGGTTTTATTTTCCTTTTATTTTCTTTTCTCCAAAAAACCACCAGTCTTGGTCCAGTTTTGCCAGCTATTCTACACATCCACAGCAGGAAACAATTGCTGTCCCAAATAGATTATGCTCTAAAAAGCCAAGGCAGACAAAGGAAGTATTATCATCATTTTGTAAACAAGGAACCAAGGCACAGGGAGATTAAATGATTTACCCAAGGTCACCCAGAACATCCGGTCAAAGCCAAGAACTGAACCCACGTCTCCCGAGTCTCAATCAAATGATTTAACTATAAGATCAAAGACTTATTGTGTATACCTGATATTTCTCCCTTAAGATATAGCAACAAAACTTTTTTTCAGGTTAGGATCAATGCCACATAGAGTGCAGTAAATTTTGTATATGGCATATCTGTGCTGACAGCATGTACTCACTTCTTCTACTCAGGTTCTTCCCAGGAAATAATTTCCCTTATTATTCTTCCATTGTCAGTAATAAATAATCATCCTTCTCTAGATAACTCGCTGAAGGAGAGAATATGTGCACAAAGTACATCAGATGAACACATAGAAAACTGTTTTTCTGCAAGGCCAAGCTCACTCATTTTATGGACTGTTTAAAATCCTTCCATGCTTAATGAAATGAGGACATTCCCACAACTATATGGACTTTATTTTGCCATTTGAGCTGGAAGTTGCACAAGAAGATAAAGGATCTACATCTCTTATATGCATATGCCAAGAGTGCAGCAGAAATGATCAGTATAAAGGCATCATTCATTATAAGCTCAGAGTAGTCTTTGATTTGGAGTCTTTATTACTCATTCACTGGGGTCATTATATCATTCATGGGATGAAATACTCCTCTGTGCACAGGGCCTCCATGGGGCCCAGATCCTACTTAATCCCTTCAATTCTAAGGGTAGTTTGGATGAAAAGTGACTACAAAATGGTACTGGTTAGTCCCAACACCAGAGCAGCCATAAAGGGAGGACAGGAATCTGCCCCTCATGTGCCTCTGTCTTGAGGTCTGATATTTCTGCCTGGTCATTCTGGAAGTCAAAACACTGCAGGTGGGTTTCAGGGTGAAAGCGTGGTCTACTTACACTTTTATTGTCAATGCAATGAAACACAAGAAAAAGACCCAAGGTGAACATGACATCCTGGGTTGACTTTTTTGGGCTGACATTTCCTGGAAATGTAGCTATGACATCCTGGGTTGACTTTTTTGGGCCGACATTTCCTGGAAATGGAGCTCAATGAGTGTGGAAGCCACAGAGAAATGCTATGGTGGATCCCCACAGGGTCATTTTTCTGCCTCTGTGGTATCTCAGCTACATTAGGAGAGCAAAGATGCACTTCCAAATCTCTCCTCAACATTTCTTAAGGTGTTATGTGTCGTCACAAGCTTCCTTGTGAGGGACAACAGCTCAAAATATATTTTCTTAAGTGAGGTTATTTCTGTCATCATGTGCCTGAGCACAGCACAAGGTCTACACAAGGGATTGAACAACAGAGATCTCAGTGGTGAAAACATGAACATCTAGAAGGCTTTTGCTGGAGAAAGACAAATAAATTGGGTGAATGCAATACTGGACCATGTTGTATTTGCCCAATTCAATACATCTGTAACATAGTAATACCAATATGTTTGACTGAATCGAAGGAAACAGAACTGTTGTGCTTTTGACTAGAGGAAAAATTTGGGCTTTTTGCTTAGACATCCTGATTTCTTGTGAAGGAGAAGAATATACATAGATACTATAAATCATGCTTAGTTTTGCCAAAGAAGGTAATTATCTTTGGTATTTTGGATGACATTTCCAGTAGGATTAGGACACCGCACACTGATTCCTTTTAAAATTATTGATCTGTCAGTACCATGGTTCTACTTACTTCTTTAGATGTTCAAAAAGGATTTTCATTGTGTCATAGTTGGGTCTAGGGAGCTTTTTTACCAGGCTCCTTATGGATTTGATGCGAGTGGTGTTGTCCTGGATTTCTAAAGGAAAAAAAAAGGAGAAAATAACCACTTGAGTGGCAAATTAGGGCATTGCTTTGCACACTGCTGTAGCTGGTATCTTAACAAGAAAATTCATCATTAATACATGGTTAAAACCAGAATATTTCATCCTTTCCATCACCTTAATAGAGATTGAGAGTAGTTTACAAGGATAAAAAATTCTCTCTTAATCTTAAGGAAACATTTTCTGGATCACAGAAAAGATATTTTTATACTTTTTCTTGATTTTCTTAGACTATTAAACCATCATCTTAAGCTGAAATGCCTGCCAGAAGTAAGAGAACCACTTATTTGGAATTACATTTGTCCTATGGTGCAGAGTCTGTGATGGATGCACTTCCCAGGTAATGCTTACTGTTTCTTTTTTTCTCATCATAATCAAGTCCAACATATTTATGGATATCTGTCCTTAACACCCCACCAAGTTTGGCAATATAAAATGATCTGATATTTTTTTAAGCTGCTCTTCCTGGTGAACAATTATTTCAAGCAACTATCCCACTGTAGCTATTTTCTCATACCTGTAACATTTTACAATGGGAATTTCTGCAGGAAACAATTTGTATTTTAAATTTGCAATTAAAGAATGCAGCTCTAAGAGATTTAATCTATCTTTTGAGGTGATAAGAACATTGGTATCCTGTTTGTTAAGGTATACCTTCCTGTTTTACCATGATTCATAGTTTTGTGGGACAGGTTTGACTGATATTTTCATTGATTTGTGTAAGATGTTGCAACTCAAGCAAAGTCATGTACAACTGTGCTTTCATTTAGGAACAGATTAGATAAGGTACTACTAGGTCTGACGTAGGAAAAACATCTTGCATGTTACATGCCCCAGATAACCTGAGAATACTTTTCTGATCTTATCATCTATGATTTAATTATCACCTATCATTCTTCGTATATGTTCCTCTTTAATATTCATATTACCCTAGCACCCAGAGATCTCAATCAGGATTGAAACCCAGTTGCAGTAGGTGCTGCATAAGCATACATGGTGATTAGTGCCTTGATTAAAAGATCACACCAAAAAAAAAGTTTCAACCAAATTTTTTTCTGCAATTGAATTTCATTTAAGAATTACAATTACTAAGATGTTATTCTTTCTTCAGCATGTGTTTCTAATTGCTGTTGAGATTAATACTTCATACACACATGGATGTATATGTTGATACTGTTCATAATTTGGACATTTATATAGACATGAAAGCCAAGACCTCAAAGTAGACTGTGCATAGGTATTAGTTTCCAATAAAAAAACCACCAGACTTTCATATGGATTTATTCTGTAGGAATTCATGCCATTGCCAATAGTGATAATGAAGTTAAACACAAATGAAGAATACAGTGTGTTTCTCCCTTGTTCTGGTTTGGCCTATAATGAACCTTAACTTCTGAACAGCACAACCTCCCTCAGTCTTGCAACTTGGTCATCCCTTGATGTTTTCTGCCACAAGCCATTAGTACTGTTAATTTTTCTTCTATGGATGATCTGTCTAGTCTGAAGCTACAAATGAAAATGATATGGAATTTACAGGAGTGAATTTATTGTAGGAAGGGGGTGCAAATTCTCTGGGCTCTTTATTTTTACTGCTTGGTATGTGCACACAGAATCACAGAATCATTCAACTTGGAAAAGGCCTCCGAATACATTGAGTCCAACTGTTCTCCCAGCACTGCCAAGTCCACCACTAACCCATGTCCCCAAGTGCCACATCTACACAGCTTTTAAATCTCTGCAGGGATGGTGACTCCACCACTGGCCTGAGCAGCCTGTTCCAATCCCTTTAATGAAGAAATTTTTTCCTAATATACAATCCAAACTTTCCCTGGCAGAACTTGAGGTTGTTTCCTTTTGTCCTGTTACTTGTTACCTTGGAGAAGGGACTGACCACTGCCTTGCCGAAAGCTCCTTTCAGGCAGATGTAGAGACTGAGAAGGTCCCACCTGAGCTTCCTTTTCTCCAGGCTGAGCCCCTGCCCAGCTCCCTCCTCATCAAACTTGTGCTAAAGCTCTTTCCCCAGCTCTGTTGCCCTTCCCTGAACATGCTATGACATGCCAAGACATACTGTGACCTTACTAGATTTGTTATATTTAGACTGGGGTTTTTCTGCCCGTACTGCAACTTCATAAATGCAAGTTCTCAACTAGTTTATTTTTTTATTTATTCTGGTTTGTTGGGATTTTTTTCCTGACAATTCAATGGACTTGAGTGGAAGTGAGACATTGAGGCAGGGACAAATTCACTGGTAGGAAGGTTTCACTGTGTGTCTGTTGCAGAGTATTTACAAGGAAATTCATACTGTAAAACTTTACCGTGCTCTCTTGAAGGAAGTGTCTCTGCTCTGTGTTGATTAACACAGATACCAGCTTGGTAACCACCTTCTGTACAGAAACAACAGCTTACAGAGGCTGCACTTCTTTATCAGGTATATTTGTAAATGAAATAAACTAAAACCCAGTATCAGTTTACAAAGAAATTATCTATTGAGAGAATGGCAGGGGTAGAAAGCTTTGGTTTAGGGTTTACTGTACCAAAATCTTCAGTACTGCTACTCAGGAGATATTTGAGTAGGTACAAAGCCTGAAGAAATATTGCATTAAATTATGTTGTGATTGGTCTATTTGTTAATTGTTAGTCTATTGTAAAAGAAGAAAAAACAGGCAACATGTGGTAACTTTAGTCAGCATTTCTGAACTGGGAATGATAAACACCTCTGCCTGGCTCTGGCATTTATCAGTACTGAGATATTATTACCACATAGAGTCACAGCATGGTTACTGTTATCATCAAAAAAAAAGAGCCAGCTAATCTTAATGGTTTGTAAAGCCGTTACCTGCACTAGTCTGACATTTATCATGATCATTTTACCACATGAGTCCCACATTGCAAAGGTATTTTATCTGGAAGGGACATCACTATGAATTATTATTTGCAGCTAGGTAGAAAATTGTATGTTGTAGATACCTTTTCTCATTATAAATCACAGTCACATTTCACCATTTCCCACACAAAGCTGCTGAGCCCAGGCTTTTTGCCATAACACTTAGTCTCGCTCCCTTTTATAGTTCCATGAAAATATTGGGTACACTTTCATTAAAATGGTTGATACTGGTGGGGTTTTTTTAAATGCTCTACACACGCTTGATTTTTCTCTAGTATAAAAGAATTTGTTTTTCCACTTGAGAAGCTGAAGAGGATAAACTGTTCATTTTTTTTATTAAAGCTTACTCTCGCTTCAGTTTTTGTGGCTGGGCTTGTCTTTACTCTTGACCTTGTTGATGGAATATTTAACAGATCAGATGCAAGATCTTATGTTTCATTTGCAATACCTATGTATTTGCTTTATTTCTGTAAAGCCTTCAGTTCTACTTTCCTTGAAATTTTCCCCCTTCAGATGCCTAAATAGAGACACTTTTAAATGTTATTTTTCTTTTTGAGATTTTTCTCTTTACCATGCACAAATGGAGGGAGGAAATCCTTAAACATGGGTTTGTATAGAGGTGTGGAGAAGTTATCCCCCTCCTTGTGCTGTATCATGAAGCCCAGCAGTGCAGGGTGCAAAGGAAGGAAAACACTCTGAACAGCTGTTAAATTCTCTAGCTAAGTCTAAAAACTGAAGCAGAGCAGTTGTGATAAAATGAAACAATATTTGGTTTAATTATATTCTTTATATTGGGAAAATTGGGGGAAAATCTGGGGAAAAATTTTCCCAGTTTGGAAAGTTAAACTCTCTTCTCCCCATGAAGATTTCTGAAGGAAAAGAGTCATCTTAATCACATATATCAAATAAAGAATGAGAGGAGGGTTAATCCTTTTAGCATTTTGGGGGAAAATTATGGGAGACGTAAGGGATTATTTCAGCAGATCAGGATACTCTGAAGTGAATCGCAGATGGTTTTTCCGTGTAATAGAATCATAGAAAATATATTTAGAATTTGGGTTACTGTCTTTAAAAATAGGGCTGGCTCCCTTTAACAGAGCAAAACCGTGGAGATGCTCTCTTGTTTACGTTTAAATGAAGAATGCATTGAAAAAAACCCACCCCACTTACTATTATATAAGCTCTTTTGTAAATGAGCTTTGGATAAACATTTGAGCACAGAAGAAAACATGACGTGTCTGTAACATTAACAGTGGCTGGGTAAAAATGAATGAAGAAAGTAACCTTTAGCACTCGTGTCCATAAAGAATACTTAAGCGAATCCCACCAAATCTTTCTTTTAATCATTAATTTTAAATGGACATAGATGTTTACAACAAGCCACTTTGTTTCAGAACAGGAAGTCCAGGGTTTATCTCCAATAACTCACGTTGGCTAGGAAGGGATGGATGTCTCTAACCTGACATGCATTCATTATTTTGTAAGGTACTGGGGTCTGACCCATGACCCTCCTCAGACCTGCTGCATTATTCATGTCCGACTTACTTTGTATAGTTTTACTATAGTGCCCATTTCCCTTTCTCCAGGCATTTCAGTGCCTTGTGCATGTTTAACGTTAAATGGCATTTATGCCTCACATTAATGCCTAATTTTATCACAAGCCATGGTTTCTTTTTATGCTCTCAAGCCTCACGGCTGAACTGCTGAAAAAAAACCCCGGTGATTTATGATTCTGCATAAAATATCAAACTATTGATCTGCCACCTTTGTTGCTGTTGGTTTTTTAGGCACGGTTTTCAGTGATTTTCTTACAGGCTCTTCTCACCTTGTTTTGTTTTTTTGGATAAGATTTCTGCTGTGGTTAAAACGTCACACACTGTTGCTACAGCAAAATCTGCCTGCCAAGAGTTTTTCCAACAATTTGTGACTGATTTAGCTGCCGAGAGAAAGACAGGGCTTGTCTGGGGCTTCTTTTTTGGGTTGTTTATTTCATTTATTTTATTTTTTTTAATCGGAGCAGAGTGGTTTAGGTGGATTTTCGAGTGCTAATGAAATTGTGAGACTTATGGTGCTGGCTACAGCCAGCCGGAG